TTTAGATGGTTGTTAAGATACCTTCGTTCAAAGTTTAAAGAAACTTTAATTTTTAGTGCCGATCATTTGCTGTGCCGGTTCGATAACGGAGATAAGTCACGTGCATGCTGTGTCGTTATAAGCCCCCAATTTTAAACCCTGATACCGGGTATTTTACATGGCAAATACCCGGGTATTTTACAAACCACGAATCTACCTTTCTTTAAAAATACCCGGGTACTTTATATTCCACGCAAATTTTTTTAAGGGGGGGGGGTACTTTGATATGAGGGGTACTATGGTCCGCGTTGTATGGTATGTTCTTCCAGGAAAGCGGCTTTCGGGATTCGTAGTAGAACCACATTAATTCAGTGGATTAAATAGACATTTTCAATTGACACGGACACATGTCCAATTTTCAATTAAAGATGTCTAATTGATCCAATTGCCAGGACCAACTAGTTCAATCGGTAACACTAGTTTTAATAGTACTGTTCCTAGTACTTGCGGACCTAAATTATTGTATAATTTAACACATATTCACTATGATAAATAATTATTGACCCTTCGAAGAGCCATTTCGAGAAAATGGCCGATTTTAATAATCTGCAGGGGACTCTATATCGACGTCTGTTGTAAAGTAAAGCCAAAGATAATTAAATTGTGATTCGTTCTGAATTCACAAGGATTTTATTCTCTGTACAAAACTTTTCTATCTAAACTAGTTTCTAAGCTAGTTGTTAATGGTAATATACACAACAAAGAATTTGTCAAATTAATTTTGGTTTCTTTGAAATTATACGTTCGTTTCATTTATCAACAATTCACAAAAATCCAAGCCGTTTCTTTACACTGCTGTATCAGTGAATAATAGCATATAGAACATTATAAATCTCTAATAAAATTTATTAAAATTTAAGACACAATTTAAAATGTATTTTACCTTAGAAGTGCACCTTTACAGCCTGATTTGATGTAGACTCGCTTGGACAATATGGACATTTAAACCGGCCATTTCCTTTACTCAATTTATTCAAACTCTCTTTACATATCACATGTCCGCATGGCATCATCATAGGGGGGTTATCTTCTGACGATTGCTCTTTCGATACAGGACAAGCAAAGATAGAATGGAATCTCATATCATCTGTGAGGGGAACTTCAACCTTCACACCAAATTAACGAAAAATTAGAGAAATTATCAATAGTTTAATAATTAAAATATGAGCAAATCTAAGCGAGTTCAGACCACTCTAGTAGGTTTAGGTCGTTGATAAATTTAGTTTGAGTCTTATTCTTGCCATGTAATTTATAAACTTTGAATAAAGGTTCTGAGAACTGCACCACATAGAATTGCTAATAAAACAGAGGCGTGGCCTCACCTTAACAACAGAAAAAAAGACAAACAAAAATATATACTATATATATATGAATAGATATATACCGGTAATTCATCCTGTTGACTCCATTCATTCTTTTTTTCTTTCATAATGGTAGCCATTTTGATGATTGTAGGTAATGCTGTGGAACCAACCGTTAAACTTGTATATAAGGGACTATCACACGACATTTTCAATAAATTGCAAAAATCACGCGTGAACGTTGTTTGAATATCAGTCCATGCATCATCTGATGTCAAATCCGCATATGGAGATGATTCTAGACGATTAACGTACAACATAGCACACATAAGTCGCTCAATTTCGCGCATGTGTCTTGTCCTAAAATAATTGAAATTTAATCTAGCATAGTTTAAAGCTCCCTTTTTGTCTTGCTGTTTAACAAGATATTTGGTGAAGTTAAGACGATGGAGATCAAACTCCAACGAGCTACCCCTTTGCTCTAATTCTTTACGTTTTGATTTCGCCCACTTTAGAGCTGGCTCTAAATTAAAATTATTAATAGCATCCAAAATTTTGTACATATGGTCAAATTGTTCTTGCAAGTCAGTAGTGATGTCCATTAATTGCGTATCTTTCATGAAAGTTTCCACTAATTTAAATTTTCCTTGACGTATAAAATGCAAAGCTATGGTTCTTTGAAGAACCTGCTCTTTATCAACAAATGCGTCAGGATTACTTGCGATTGTGATATCTTGTTTCCATTTTTTATCTATCACTTTTTCGTATCTTGATATTGTTTTTTGAAACTCTTTATGATCGTCGTTCACTTGCGATGTTAAAAGCTCGATAGACCGTGAAATTTCAATAAGGTTTAGCTTTACAGCTTCTACTTCATTTGTAGGATCTTGAGCTATTTGTTGGTTTGCTTCACGCAAAGTTGACGTGTCCATTTTTTCTATGAGCTTTGGAAAGTAATCAATATATTTCGTCTCTAGTTTTTTATACTCTGTTTGTGCACTGTTTATAATATCCATTGCTATAAAGAAAGAAGAGAAAAAAAAAAAAAAAAAAAAAAGACTCGATGTGATATATAAGTGAGGTAGAGTTAGTTAGCTTCGAGAGTTTAAAATTAGTCAGACCCCTAACTTTATATAACACGACATCAAGCAATCTGATTGGGCGTGGGTTTACTTTAACGTCAATGTTTAAAAAAGCATGGTATCGGTATGACATAACCATAAAAAAAACTGTTAATTAAAAGTATACGTAGTTCCCTGCATCGCGAAATATATACAAAATAATTTTTTTACTGAAGCGTGCTTTTAATGGATTACCAACGACAACTATTAGAGGAGTTAATGGCTCCTTTTGAATCGTCGGCAAAACATAACTTTTGGGATGATAGCGTATGCAAACATTTCCTGGTCAAATTTTGCCCTAATTCTCTCTTCACCAACACAAAATCCGATCTTGGTATGTACAATTTTTTTTTTTTTTTTTCACTTCTGAACTTTCTTAATGTTTAATTGATTTCTTTGACCTTGATTCAGGTCCCTGTACTAAAATACACGATGAAAAGCTACGTCAACAGTGCGTAATATTTTTTTTTACAAAATAAAATTTATGCTAAAATGTCAAAAAATAATTATAGTAGCTTTATAGATTTCAAGATTCACCAGAACGTGGAAAATATGGTTATGAAATCAAATTCTATGATTATTTACAATCACTATGTAATGATTTGGACAAAAAAATCCGAAAGGGGAATGATAGATTAAACGTCCGTCCAGATGATACGGTATACAATTTATTCTAGACCTAATAACTAGCTTGATCTTTATAAATTCTTTTAATCTTATCGTACGTATTGACATTATACATGTAGCTTTTAAATCCTAATAAAGACGAAAAGGAAGAAAGGATGATTATATTAGATGTAAAAATCAAGGAATTATTAGTAAAGGTAAATTATAACGCAGATTATTATTTATATGATACATCTTCGCTGATTCTAAGCCTGCAATTTTCCAAGATTGAGGAAGCAGGTGAAGAAGGACGCGTTCAAGAAGCACAAAGTTTAACCAAAGAAGTAGAAACACTTCAAAAAGATTTGGATTTCTTAAAAAACGTGAGTATAATACACAAAAATGGTAATGTTACATAGGGAACAAGCGAAGAAGAAAAGCCTACAATATGAGGTAACTTCATTGTATAACATATAGTTTATAAAATATAAAATGGATAACGAGACGTTCCTTCGAGAACGCTCCTGAAAGCTAACTTTACCAACCCAACAGTTTTAATCCTCCATGATGCCACATACTTTTTTATTTTTGGAAGCTACTTTACGATATCTTCCACTATATATTGAACATAAATTCCAGGGAGACTTTTGAAAATCGGTAGACTTTCATATTTTTGTTTCCCTGTTCACTAACCTTTCTATCTCCAAATCAATTCCATGAAACCAATTCTCCGGTCCATCCTTTTGAAATACTTAGAGCGACGATTCAAATCCGTTATTTAAACAAGAACGAAGAATGTTAGTTTGTGAAGTATGTGGGGCTTTTCTGGTGACAAATGATACGTCCAATCGCATGGACGCTCACCTACAAGGGAAGCAACATACAGGATATAAGCAGATTCGTGAAACTCTACAAGAATGGAAGGTAAGAAACGTCCTAAGTCACAAATTTGTTTGCTTTCTTGTAAATCTCATTGGAATGCACATTTTTAGCAATCACGATCACATCCATCTCGTGATTCGAGTCAACGTGACCACCGTCGAGATTCATATGTTCGACACGAACCTTACCCTCGCAGTCGCAGGGAAAAGTACAGAGAATATCGACGTGATGAGAGGGATTACCAAGAGAGAGATTATGATGATTATAGTCGCAGGAGAAACGGCAAAGAATATCGACGCGATCGAGATGATCGAGGTCGTCGACATTACGATGATTAAGCTTTTCAGGTATTTTTTTATTTATTAAAAAAAAAAAAAAGAAATCGTCCAGACAATTTAACTCATTGGCTCGTATTTGGCGTGAAGTAACCCTTCGAGTCAAAATCGTGTCTTTGAACAAAGGCTAGTTAAAATAGAACAATATATTTTTATATCTTGATAATTAAATTGAACTTTTTCTTTTACATATTCAAGATTTATTAATTATAGATGTGAATGATTGTAATAAATGGGTGAAGCCTCAAAAAAAAAAAAAAACTTATTCTGGAAAAGTTATTGTTGTATATGTTAATATACCAATTTGCATTGCACGTCCTTGTGATTTTCACTATTATAATTAATGATTAAACGGATTACAACAATCCTTTTCTCCGTAGTTCTCTACGCTCTTTCAACTATACAATGAATCGAAAAAAAAAAGAGAATTTATATGCATTTATTTCGTAGTTAAATAAGTTAAATATAAAGTTATCTTACCCATTTTTTTTTACACTCACGATATTGTAAGAATAAATCCTGACATTTACTTTTATTATAATTATTGGAATCTAAACATTTCATAGCAGCAGCAGTTTCTTTTGGACACGGATCTAAGAATTTTGAACTTTGTTTAACTTTGAAGGACTGGTGAATTTCTTTTAAAGTTTGGTCGGTCATTGTAACAAAGTGTTCAACTGCTTCGATTTACTGCAACTTTTATCTAAAGAACGTTATTTGTACATATTACAAAAAAAATCTGCACATACACAACCGAATATTTTATCATGATAACGATTAACTTGATTTATGTATTATAATAGAATTCTTTTTCAATTGCATAAGATTTTGACATCGAATAACTTCAAAACAACCTATGGTTTATTCCTTTCTATGATTTGAATGGTCTAGTCGCTAAAATTTTTTACTACTAAAACCTTGTTTTTGCTAATTTTTTTTTTTTTTTTCTTTATTCTTTTATAAGCAAAAGCAGATGTATGGAATCTTATATTGTGCAATGTCCGTCCGGCAACACCAGCCAATCAGTTTTGATAATCCTCCAATTACCAATCGCATTGCTTGGTTAAGGCCAAATTCTGTGATTTTGTGGTTAAAAATATATAATTGTTGTCCACATTTCTGGGATTTTCTGAATTTATGGTCAATACTGCGCTACTTTTTTAGAATTTTGTAGTATTCTGTGGTGACTAAAGGTGATTTTTGTGGTTAGCAGTTTTTAAGGAAAATTCTGTGATCGCAATAAATCATCGGCAAGTAACGTATGTATATTAAAGTTGGTTTTTGGATTATCCTAAAATAAAAAGATTTCTTTCGTGGATGTTTAAAATTCCCCAATTATCCTAAATTGTCTTATACTTTTACTAATGCGAAATTGACGTACCGTACAAGCGCGAAATAACGCCCACCTTATTTCGAAATGAATTCGTACCCCTAATTATAAAAATACAGTAGTATTTATTTATAATAAGAATTAAAAAGTGCTCTGGGACTGGTAGTTCTTCAGATCGAGAAGATTCTAACGGTAGTAAAATCATCAAAAACAGTCCAGTAGTTCATCCACAATAGCTCTTCAAAGTTTCGCAACGTTTGTTTACCTTAGTTACATCATGTAAACAAACGTTGCGAAATTTTGAAGAGCCATTGCGGGCGAACTACTGGACCGTTTTTGATGATTTTACTACCGTTAGAATCTTCTCGATCTGAAGAACTATTTTTGTTAAAGCCGTAAAATAGTTTACTTAATAACAAATCCAGCTCGATGCACTTTTTATTTATTTATCATTTTTTTATTTTTTTATATTTATTTATAGGGATGCGCGTTAATTCAGGACGCCCATGGGAAGCTGCATATGCTATTTTAAGGGTATCTATTTTTTAAATTAACGCCCCTGAGCGTTATTTCGCGCTTTTCGGTAAATGCACTTTGGAACTTCAATTTACAGATCTACAACATAGTTTATTGGTTGGTAATTAATATAAAGAAAATGATGTTAAAAAGAATGTGCACAAAGCGTTCGAAAATCTGATAGTAGATCAAAAAAAAAAAAAAGAAATCGAATAAAATAATCTTATACTATCATAGTAATTTAATTTACGTATAAATAATTAGGGGCGTTTTATTTATTGCGGTCTAGAGCTTACGGATTCCTTATTTGAATAATATTCGAATAATTTAGATCGACAAATATCTATTCGAATATTCGCCGAATGACTAACAGAATTCGAATAAGTACTATCTATTCGAATAACATATTAGATACGAAGCAGTTAATCATATATAATTACTATGTGTAAATCAGCCAATGACATGACGAATAAGAATTATTACATTCTAGAAAATTAATTTGATAGAATCATGAAATTTCAAAAATTTCAAAATAAAAGTAGTGTTACAAAAATGCAATCGATTAGTTGGCCAAAAATTTTTTTAAAAATCGATTAAAATTCAATTATAGCGATTATTGCGCTTTGCAAAAAGATGTGACCTCTGCAGATCACAGTGTCGTGTGAAAATCGGGGATTCTGTAGATTTTAAGAATCTTACCAATTACAAATAAAATTGGAATTATTGCGGTTTGCATAATTTTGTGACCCCTGATTAATTTTTTTTATGATTAAATGCTAAAAGCCGACCATTTATCATAAATCTGAGCTCGACACAAACTCAGATTCATGATAATTGGCTGGCTTTAGCAATCGCGATCGCAATCACAATCATTTAATCATAAAAAATTAATCATAGGGTCACAAAATTATGCAAACCACAATTTAGAATCTCGGAAATTTTCCTTGTTCATCACGAAAATCATGGGGTCACATCTTTTTGCAAAGCGCTATAATTGACTAGTCGGTTAGTTGGTATATCGAAATGGCTTGGATATAATTGCGTATATCTATTAATTACAATATCAAAGTATGATACCATATTTAATAACTAGTTAGTCACTATATGGGATTTTTGCTATTAAAATGACCATCTGAGGCTATGTTGATTTTGTAAATAAAAATCAAATTTGCCAGCCATCTAGTAATCCAATTTGAATAAACTTTTTTTATTTTGTAAATCTCAATAGAATCTACAAATTAAAAAAATTTCATTCAGATTGGATAACTAGATGACTGGTAAATTTGATTTTTATTCACAAAATCAACATAGCCTCGGAGGGTTACATAGTCGATTAATCAGTTAATCGATTAATTATAGCGGTTTGCAAAAGGTGTGACCTCTGCAGATCATAATGTCATGTGAAATCAGCTGATTCTAGTAGATTTTTCGATTATTCTACGTACTATCATCATGAAATCACAGGGTCACATCTTTTTGCAAACCGCCATAATCGTCAACAATCGATTAGTTGTCTAATAAAATTATTAATCGATTAATTGCTAATTCGATTATGGCGGTTTGCTTATTATAAAATTATAAAAAATTTTTGGGCCTTTTTTTTACACTTTTTTTTCATAGTTAGGTTAGGGTTAGTAGGGTAGTTTTATTAATAAAAAAGTATATGTGGATTTTAGTAGGTACATCAGCCGTTTTCAGCATCAGCTGCGACAATAGTTGATATACATATGTTATCAGAAGTAATGTTAAAGAAATCGGCGAAATCAGAAATAATAAATTCTTTTTTGATTTGCAAATTTCACGCAAACCACAATAAATAGTCTTCTACTCACGAGCTAGTGATTTGGGACGTTTTATTTGATAGTATATAGATTATTATAAGGTTTAATTTACTAAATAATTTTATACTCTCAATAAGTAGCTGATAATTGGAGATTTTATTTAAATTTAATAAACTAGGTAGTCCCTTCAATAAAATTGACCCGTTGGATTGGGAAATTAGCTCAACCGTACTTCTTTGTTTTACTACATATAGTCATGAAAACAAAAATATCTACTGAGCTGATTTTTAATGGTTTAACTACCATTATGACTATTATGACTAGAATTTTTGTTAATTGGCCAGGATCACTGATATTGGTAAAGCATAAATTCAACCAAAATTCCAGGTGGGAATCTACCGGGTGGTGATAGCCCGTTCGTGAAGTTATCCAGTGTTACAGCATGGGAAGAGACCAAATTTAGCTTTAGATCGTAAATTATGTTATTAAATATATACTTAAGAAAAGGTGATTTATAGTGGGGGAGTAATTTATGTTTTTTGCAGGGGTTAACACCACTGCGCACGCTCTTACCAGAAAGCTAGGGCCGATCTACCAAATGACTCGATTACAAATAATGAGGTAAGAGAAACGAAGGAAAATAATGTAGTGGGAATTCATTAATTCAAGAATAAGGTAATGATTACTCGAGAATGAAGTAATAATTTGACATTATTCGGTAATAATCCGGTACCAAATGACTCGATTACAAATAATGAGGTAAGAGAAACGAAGGAAAATAATGTAGTGGGAATTCATTAATTCAAG